CATCCCCATCATCATCACCGTCAGCCCATCACCATCATCGTCACCATTACCATCACCATCGTCATCATTATCACCATCATCATCATCATCGTCACCATCACCATCATCGTCACCATCACCATCGTCATCATCATCCCCATCATCGTCACCATCACCAACATCATTTTACTGTCACAGGTCACTAATCACCTTAGAGTAATAGTTGAGAGTCTGACTTTTGGAGCCAAACAGACTTATATTCAAGTCCTAGTTCCTCCAGTTTCTAGTCATAAACTCTTAGAAAGTCACTTAGCCTCCCAAGCCTCAAGTTCTTCTTCTGTAAGGTAATAATGTAACCTATTTCCCATTGAGGTCAGAGGGTTTTTAAAAAAATAAACCATTCAACACCAAAAGTACAAGCAACAACAATAAAAATAGGTAAATCTGACTATGTCAAACTTAAGATCTGTGTGTTAAAGACACAATCAACCAAGTGAAAGGCAACTCATGGAATGGGAGAAAATATTCATATATCTTATAAGGGATTATGATCCAGAATATATAAACACCTACAATTCAACAACAACAACAACAACAAAATCAAACAGCCCAATTTAAAAAGAAGCACAGGACTTGAATAGACTTTTCTCGAAAGAAGACATAGAAATGGCTGGTGAGTACATGAAAAGGTGTTCAACGTCACTCATCATTGGGGAAATGCAAATCAAAACCACAATGAGGTACCGCCTCACACCCATAACACGAGTGCCATCAAAAAACAGGAAACAACATGTGGTGATAAGGATGTGAGTGCCACTGCTGTGGAAAACATTGTGGCAGTTCCCCAAAAAATTAAAAATAGAATTATCCTATGGTCTAGCAATTTCTCTTCTGGACACATACCCAAAGACGATGGAAAGCAAGGACTCAAATAACAGCATTAATCACAATAGCTAAAAGGCGAAGCAGCCTGAGCGTCTGTTGATAGATGAGTGGATAAACTACGGTGCACACAGTGGAATATCGAGCGGCCTTCACGAGGAAGGAAAGGCTGACACCTGCTACCACGTGGATGAAATTTGGAGACATTTACTAAGTGAAATAATTCAGTCACAAAAGGACAAGTCCTGTATGATTCTACTTCTATGAAGTACACGAGGTCGTCAGAACCACAGAGACAGAAAGAAGAATGCTGGTTTCCAGGGGCTGGAGGGAGGGAGGACGGCAAGCTGTTTAGTGAACCAGAGTTTCAGCTTTACGAGGTGAAAAAGAGATATAGAGATGGATGGCGGCGCTGGTGCCCAAGGAGGAGAAGGTCCTTCGTGCCACCAAACCATACGCTTAAAATGGTGAAGATGGTGAATTTATGTTGGATGTGTTTTACCATGATAAAAAAATAATAACAATAAATCATTCAACGCGCTGGACACAATGCCCAGGAAACGGTCAATTCTCAATGCAGGGAGTTAGAACCAGCAGCAGTCCTGCCAGGTCCAGACCGCTCCCCCATTCCAGAATTGAGGAACGAGAGGTGCTGGGATGTCCCAGGTGTCACCAAGAGTGAGGAGCCGAGCTGGACAGGGCCAGGTGAGTGCACTGGACTTGCCTGCCTGCACAGCCTTTGCCCCGCCCCCGGCTGTCCTTTCAAGACCTGGCTCGGTTTTCTGGGCCCCTGGAACCCTGAACCCTCGCCCCCATGGCCCTCACCCCTCGTGGCCTCTCTGTGTGCGTGTCCCACCCCTCTGGCTAGAACCAAGAGCCACGAGGCCAGGGTCCCCATCCGTGGCCGTCCCCAGCCACGAGGCCAGGGTCCCGCACCGAGTCCTAGGCCACTGCCCTCTCCCCGTGGTGCCCCAACGGCAGCAAGACACACTGAGCTGCTCTTTCCTTCTGCCTCCGGAGGTTTAGACGAATCCCTTGCTGGCCTTCCTAGGAAGTCTGCTTTTCCTCGGGTGCTCACCACGCAGCGCTCCCTACAGGAACGGACCTGGGTCTGAACCCCACAACCCAAGGTGCGTCTGGATGTGGTCTGTGATCCCGTCTCTGCCCTGTTTCCACTGGGAGTTTGGAGTCCACTCATCCAGAGAGAGGCTTTAAAGCCGAGGTCCTCACATGGTAGCTCCACCAGGAGCCAAGTCCTTCGGTTACCACCTCTGTGGCTTGGAAGGGAGAATTACACTGACTTCAGAGGGTGTTTCAACAACTAAATGCACCTGTGCACGTCATGTCTTTGGGCAAATACGCCCGGCACCTACAATGATTCCGTGAATAGAGATGGGGAACCCACCAGGCTCCCGGGGAACCTCACCGGTGCCCACGGCCTCTGCTCCCAAGGCTCACTCCGAACTTGACCCCATGCATCAGCCATTGGATCTAACCATCTCCTGGGCACCCCACGGTACCTCAACCTCTTTATGCCCCACGTGAGACCATTTCCTCCCTCCCAAGCCCCCTTCCCCCTTCTTTTCTTCTCCTTACTGTGGGCACTGTTGTCATAGCTCAGTCTTCCGACCTGAAAACACCCCAGTCATTGGAGACCCCCCCTGCCCTAGGTTAATCAGCTAACAGCTCGAACAGTTCCCCCTGAGTTGTCCCCACGCCCCCTTCTCCTCCATCCTCTTCTCACATCTACTGTGTAGTTAGGCTCTCGCCGTCTGTTTCCTTCCTCTTCCAGACTCCAGGCTGCACCCACCCCACCCTGTCCTCCACCCTGTCCCCAACCCCGTCCCCAACCCCGTCCCCCACCCTGTCCCCCACCCCGTCCCCCACCCCGTCCCCCACCCTGTCCCCCACCCCGTCCCCACTCCGTCCCCCACCCTGTCCCCCACCCCGTCCCCCACCCTGTCCCCC